TTTTATTGTATCTGCTTTTATTCTTGTGTTTTGCTTTATCGTGTATCTTGTATCGTGATCCCTCTGCATCTCTATGCACACTGATATTGATCCTGATCAAAATCTTCTGTCTCATATCTATACCAACCAGCACATTGATCATCATTATTGTAAGTATTTCACAGCACACCAGGCTAAAAACAAACTCCAAAATAGCACCTATCTATCAGTTTATAACCAAAATGTTAGATCACTTGGTAAACATTTTGACGATTTAAATGCACTACTCACAGCACTAGGTACTAACCTATCGTTCATTATTTTAACAGAAACTTGGCTAAATAAAGACTATACCCAACTCTACAACTTAGCTGGTTATAAAGCCATTCATAACTGTAGGCCTAATAAAAAAGGTGGTGGCACAGCTATATATTACCGAGATACATTTATCTGCAACAGTGTTATTAGTGACAGAGATGACTACTGTGAATATACTTTTGTTCAGTTTACAATTAAATCCCTTAAATCCTCTTTGACTATTGGAGCCATCTATAGATTTCCTAATACTAACATAGCTTCTTTCTCAGACAACCTAAGGAATCTTATTATAAACAACAATCTCAACAAAAACCACATCATTCTGGGAGGAGACTTTAATATTGACCTGGGTCAACAAAACTGCTCTCAAGTTGACTATTTCCTTAACAGCATGAACTCCTGTATGCTAATCCCCACTATCACCAAACCTACCCGAGTCACTCAAACATCAGCCACTACCTTGGACCACATATGGACAAACATAACAGCTCCCCTTGTATCTGGTATAATCTACGACAGAACAACTGACCACTATCCTACCTTTCTCATAGCGAACATGGACATAACACCACCAAAAAGCAAGAAATTTTCATTTAGGCTACACAGTGAATCAGCTTTAGACAATCTTACAGAGGCACTTCACAATATTAACTGGGATTCTGAATTCAATAATACCCATGATATAAATTCATTAGCTAACCTCTTCCTCTCCAAAACTCTAAGCCTCTACAACCTTCATTGTCCCCTTCTTACAAAGCAAGTAACTGACAAAAGATTAAACAATCCATGGCTCACAAATGGCATTCTCAACTCAATCAACAAGAAACATGAATATGAAAAGAAAGTTAGGATTGGCCTAGTTTCAAGGGAAGTAGCTAAAAGGTACTCATCAATGCTTACCAGTATCATAAGAAAGGCAAAACTTGCATATTATGTGAATAGATTCAATGAAGCAAAAGGTAACATGAAAAACACTTGGAAAACTATCTCTAGTATCCTAGGAACTAAACAACACTCACATAACCAAATAAAACTCTACAAGGATGGGGATATACCGTCAACTGATTTAGAAATGGCAAATGAATTTAATAGTTTCTTTTCATCGGTTGGTGCTAATCTTGCCAGTAAAATCCCACAGACTCAGACACATATTAACACATATCTCTCAGGCAGCTATCCAAACTCTCTTCTCCTTTCACCAATCAGCCCGGCAGATGTTGTGTCCATCATACACTCTCTAAAAACCAAGGCAGGGAACACCAGTGAAATTCCGTCCATTGTGTACAAGAGAGCCTCCCATGCCCTTGCCCCACCCATAGCACTACTGTTCAACAAATCTATAGAGTGTCACACCTTCCCTGATATCCTCAAAAAAGCAAGAGTAACGCCAGTCCATAAAGGAGGCAATCCGGCGGACATAAACAATTATAGACCAATATCAAATCTACCCATTCTATCAAAAATATTTGAAAAAATTATTTACAAACAGCTCTATTCCTACCTCGTAAAATTCGACATACTCAGCCCCTGCCAGTTTGGCTTCCGGTCCCAAAAGAGTACCAATGATGCAATCATTAGTCTCCTTGACATTATCTACTCAGCCCTTGACAAAAATGAGTTTCCGATTGGACTCTTCATTGACCTAAGAAAAGCCTTTGATACTGTTAATCACAACTACCTCTTATTTAAACTCCAGCATTATGGAATCCGAGGCCTTGCCCTTGACTACATCCGATCCTATCTTAGTGACAGACACCAATATGTAACCATCAATGATACAACTTCTTCCACTCTACCAATTACCGTTGGAGTGCCACAGGGCAGCATCTTAGGACCTCTTCTATTTCTTATATATATAAACGATCTGCCTAATGTCTCTAATATTCTCAAACCTATATTGTTTGCTGACGATACTACCCTTATCTACTCAAACCTCAACCCACATACACTAAATAATGTTGTGAATAATGAATTAAAAAAAGTCCACTTATGGATGTCAACGAACAAACTAACATTAAACATCGAAAAGACTTACTACATCTTATTTGGAAGCAAATCATCAAATGCAATTCAGCTACAGATAGACAACATTAACATCAGTAATAAAAATGATGGCAAGTTTCTTGGCCTATTCCTAGACAAGAGACTCAACTTCAGCACCCACATTCAACACATAACTAAGAAAGTCTCTAAGACAGTTGGTATACTCTCCAAAATCAGATATTATGTTCCTAACTCTGCTCTCCTCTCACTATATTATGCACTAATCTACCCCTATCTTAATTATGGTATCTGTGCATGGGGGTCTACCACTGCAAACCACCTTAAGCCCATCATCACACAGCAAAAATCTGCTATCAGAATAATAACTAACTCTGCTTTCAGACAACACTCAGCTCCCTTGTTTAAATCTCTAAACTTGCTAAATATTAACTCCCTCCACACATTCTCTTGTGTCAACTACATTTACAAAACCCTGTTCTTAAATGCAAACCATGCTCTGAAACTCTCCCTGGACAGATGTAATAGGACCCATTATCACCACACCAGAAATAAATATCTCTTTGATATCCCCAGGGTCAAACTTAATCTGTGTAAACACTCTATGCAAATTAAGGGACCTAGTCTATGGAACTCACTCCCTAGTGAATTGAAAAACTGTAAAACTTTTGCCTTATTTAAAAGCAAAACCAAAAAGTACCTAACTTCATCTATTTAGTTTCCTACACTGAGCTTTAAATTTGCTCTGTACCTAGTGGTACCCAATATCCTAATTTTTATGTAATATCAAACAACCTTATCATTGTGTTCATTGCTGTCTTCTTTTATGTGCTAGCCATATGCTGTATTGTGACTACCAATTTTTGTCAACTACCATTCAAGCTGTCATTGCAATCAATCTTATATTGTTTCTGCTGTATTGTGCCTACCAATTTGTTGTCAACTACCATTTTAAGCTGTCATTGCAATCAATCATAGCTACCTATGTGCTTTAATATACTGTACCTATAATTTTCTCTCATCTTTTTTTTTTTTTTTCATTCCATGTAATCTGTTATCATTTTTTTGTCTATAAATTTTGCAAGTATTTACCTCCTTAAAATTTTCTTAGATTAAGGACCTGCCCGAAACGCTGCGCGTGCTAGTGGCTTTACAAGACTGTAATTACCATAATTGTATCCTCACATTCCTTATGTACATTCTTGTATATGCATAAATAAATAAATGAAACTTGCACATTATATGTAGAAAATACGCCTCTATAAACGCATGTCATTATTCTTATCTACGTAGATTTATTGATTTTATAAATAATGATACACCTCATTTTGTTGCATACGTTTTTGGGAAACTTTTATAAAATCTGTATTATTGCACTAAATACATCTGGGATAATAATGTGACATGCAAATCTTTATTATATAGTAAGGTCATAGCTGAGTGTCTTATAAATGATTTTGGTTCACAATTGTGGGCTGTGAAATTTTTTGAACATGGTTGAAAAATTCGTCTTTTTTTTTTTTTTTCTCCGTCTCTATTTAGGCTGAGATGCTGAAACTTGGCCTATGTGCAGCACCTTTCACATGTATCAGGATAATAAATTATGAATACCCTACAACAATTTTTTAAATCCGGGGACTTGGCCCCTTAAATGAATTGTGGGATTCAGTTCCTGAGCCAAGTATGTGCTTCTATAGCCTTTTTCACTGCCATACACAGGATACTTTATGAGGTGCATAACAATGAAGCTAAATGTCCATAAAATGAATACAAAAGTCATGACAGACTATGAAAGTAAAGCATATTATTGTGAAAATAAACTGTTAAGTGACTTTCAGAAAGTCTAAAAAATTACCAAAATTAGTAATAAAACATTTATGTGTACCCATAAATAAAATACTTGAGACAAAAAAATGAGGGTCAGACGGCCAGTGTAGGAATATCAGGAATTTTCCTCAGCTGGCCTGTGCCCCCAGACTGTTCCCCCTGGTCTGTGTCCCCAGACTGTTCCCCCTGGTCTGTGTCCCCAGACTGTGCCTCCTGACTATGCCCCCTAGCCTGTGCCTATTTAATGTGCCCCCTAGCCTGTGCCCTCTTACTCTGGCCCCCCCCCCAGGCTGTGCCTCCTTACTGTGTCCTCATACTGTGCACGCTGGCCTGTGTTCCCTGGACTGTGCCTCCTGACTATGCCCCCAGCCTGTGTCTCCTTAATGTGCCCCTTGGCCTGTGCCTCCTTACTGTGCTTCCCCCCTCCCCCAACCTGTGCCTCCTTACTGTGTCCCCATACTGTGCATCCTGGCCTGTGTTCCCGGGCTGTGCCCCATGACTATGCCCCCAGCCTGTCTCTCCTTACTGTGCCTCTTTACTGTACCCCCCTGGCCTGTGTCCCCAACCTGTGCTCCCCGGTCTGTGCCTCCGGCCTGTGTCGCCCAGCCTATGCCTCCTTACTGTGCCCACACACTGTGCCCTCTGGCCTGTGTCCCCAGCCTGTGCCTCCTTACTGTGCCCCCGCAGCCTGTGCTCCCCGGCTTGGTCACACTACACACTAAGACGGCCATCACAGCCTTCATACCCTCACCTGAAAATGCTTTAAACAATGCTACGCATCCTGATGCATGCATGCCATAACATTAGTACAGTTTGCTGTTTTATGAGAGAAGGCCAGAGCCCAGGAGTCTGCTCCCTCGCCCTCCATCACTCACCTGTAGCCATAAGATGTGAATTTACGACTCTCCCGGAGGAGCGCCTTATAGAGCGCCAGTACTTGACGTCCGCTCTCCGCCATACTCAGTGTTTACTGCCTCCCGACCCTCGCACGTGGTTCTGACTTCTGCCTCCCGACCCTCGCATGGGGCTCCGACTTCGGCCTCCCGACCCTCGCATGTGGCTCCGACTTCTGCCTCTAGACCCTCGCATGAAGCAATGACTTCTACCTCCTGACCCCTGCACGTGGCTCTGACTTCTGCCTCCTGACCTGCGCACGTTTATGTATTCACTAGCTGTACCCGGCCAGTTGCTGTGGCTCAGCAACGCATGTGTGTTGCTGAGCCACAGCAACCTTCCCCTGTCTCCCAGTCCTCCCCACCCCCGTCCCCTCGTTCTCCCAACCATTCCTCACTCCCCCGTCCCCTTGTCCTTCCAACCATTCCCCACTTCCCCGTCCCCTCCTCCCCACCGTCTCCCACTCCCCCGTCCCCTCGTCCTCCCCACCATTCCCTCCCTTCCCCATCCCTTTGTCCTCCCCAAATCCCCCACTCAACCAGTCAGCCTTATAGATGTTGTGTCCATCATTGACTCACTAAAAACCAAAGCTGGGATCATTAGTGAAATACCATCTATGGTATACAAAAGTGCCTCCCATGCCCTTGCTCCACCCATAGCTTTGCTGTTCAACAAATCTCTAGAGTGTCATACTTTCCCTGATATCCTTAAAAAAGCAAGAGTAACATCAATTCATAAAGGAGGCAATCCGGCAGACATAACCCTGGAAACACAAACCGAAACTGTCTCTATTTTCCGCTTGTTACAACTTGTAATAAAGTTGTTACATTTTGGCTTAACGTGTTTATGACATATTAGAACGTTGTTACAACTTGCTATATTGGTTGTTATAACTGGTTAGGAGGTGTTAAAACTTGCTCGAACGTTGTACCAACGTCGTAGTTTCGGTGTGTGTTTGGCGGGAAACAATCAAACTAGAAATGCTCTACAAATTAAGGGACCCAGAATGTGGAATGACCTCCCCAATCATGTTAAAGACTGTACCTCTCTCAACCAGTTTAAGATAAAAACTAAGCACTACCTAATTAACTCCCTGTAACCTACCTTACCCCTATAATGTCAACCCATGTCTGTTATTTTTAAACAATGCTGTTTGTCGACCAAATTGTATTTTTGCTGTTTTTCTGCCATGTTCCCCCCTTTTTTATTTTTATTTCTGATCGGGGAGAAAAAACAAGCCAGGAGTGGGGGGACCTTAATTTATTAAATAATGTTTAAAGAGCAACTGCTGTACCATAATATAAAAGATGTCGTGTAACATGACTGAGTAGAATGCCAGTACTGCAAAGATGCAACTAAGGGAAGAAGTCGTAGGACATTAACCGTGCCTAGTGCCAGCTAGCCGAAGCAATGTTGCAGTACTCGCAATCAGCTTAATACTATAATTAAAAACAATGCCAGAGTTAATTGAGTGGCACAGCCAGTACAGTATGAATAAAATATATTCTGTATACACAGAGGGCATAGAAAAGAATAGATAAGAATTTCCAGGTTACCTTGAGGTTACCTTGAGGTGCTTCCGGGGCTTAGCGTCCCCGCGGCCCGGTCGTCGACCAGGCCTCCTGGTTGCCGGACTGATCAACCAGGCTGTTGGACGCGGCTGCTCGCAGCCTGACGTACGAGTCACAGCCTGGTTGATCAGGTATCCTTTGGAGGTGCTTATCCAGTTCTCTCTTGAACACTGTGAGGGGTCGGCCAGGGGTAATGATATGCTAGTGCCTAGTTTACATGTAAAGTCTACAACCCCCAACTTGCACTACAAGTGAGCACTTGACATATGGTAAGTAGCTGTGGGCAGCCCTAGACTTGGGGATCCGGCGCAGCACCCCCACTCCGCAGGCCAGCGAAGCCGGTACCCCACCCCCCGAAGGGCGAGGTGCCCGCTGGCCGCAGAAGTAAGTTATCTAGGTAATGGAATGACGTCTTGCCTGACGTAGGAGTGGAACGCATCACTTTTCCACCTGCCGACTGCTCTGATTGCTGCCGGCGCCAGGCCATCCTTGGACATCTGCGTGGCCCTGCCGATTCTGAAGGAGTGCGGAGCATAATCGTTTGGAGGCAGGCCTAGTGCTCGAACGGCAGCACGGAGCACCCATGTGAAATCTTGTCTGGTGACCGGGGCGCCCGATTCGCCTAGGAAGATAGGGCCTGGTTCCATGCCCCGTCGTCTTATGTAGTTCGCCATGGCACGGACCGGGCAGTACTTGCTGTAGGGGTCTGCACTTAGGGTTAAAGTGGGGGTATGCCCTGAACTGTGCTTGTAGGAGGCAAACGCGATGTCGATCCCCATCCGCGATAAAGTTAACTCGTCCAAGCGTAGCGTGTGTTGCCCCTTCCCCGTATAGGTCACCTCCCCTGGCCAGAGGCAGGCGTAGAAGGCGAGGGAGAAGAGCGCTCGGTAGCAGGTCTTCTCGTAAGTCGAGCGGCAGACACCTCGCAGGGCCCCCAGTAGTTGATGCAGTATAGTCGTCTGGTCACTGGCAATCGTCGTGCGGGGAGCCGTTGGGCCTTGTTGCGCGCTTCCTTAAGTAGTTGGGTGACTAGGAACTGGCGAGTAGGATCCTCCCTACCATGCAGCTTGAACATGAAGGCGATTGCCGCAAGGTAGGCGCTGAGAGAGCGGAAAGCCAAACCTCGAGACAGCAGCGACTGCAGGAAGTTCGCCAGTGTCGTGGACGAGGCCTCGAAGGGACACTCCCGTCTCCTGTCGTTCGATACATACGCCACGTACTCCGCCCACTTATGTTGATACGTTCGCCGTGTCGCGGGCTGCAGGGAGTCGAGCAGCGTCCTTACAGTTTCAGGGTGAAGTTGCAGGCCAGGAGGTGCTGCGGGATTGCGGTTGGCTTCTCGGCGAGTCCTGCGTCTCGCAGGAACGAGGGCAGCAGTACCTGCAACCGGGAAAGAGCGTCACAAACCCCGTTTAACTTGCCCGGGAGGTGTGATGGAAGAAGCGTAATATTATGGGTGAGGAGGAGGATTGCCAGTGGCCGGACCAATTGCATGAGGAGGGGGCACCTGGCGGACAGAGATTGCAGCACGTTTACCACAGCGGCGTTGTCGGACCTACACATAAGCCTCTTGTTTGCTAACACTGGAGCAAAGATAGATATCCCCATGTAGAAAGGGTAAAGTTCGAGGAGCGCAATGTTGAGCCGGCTCCAGTCCATAGGCCAGGTACCCCTGAACCAGGTCGCTCCGAGTGTGAGTCCGTAACCCTTGGATGAGGCGTCCGCACACATCGCGAGGGCCGTGGCGCTCCCCCATCCACCGTCTGGTGGAAAAACCGTTATCCCATTGAATGTGCCGAGGAAAGTGTGCCAGGCCCGCAAGTCGAGCTTCGCCTCAGCGTCCAGCAGGCAGAGGCGTGAGGGACGTTGTACACCTCGTGTGAGCGGGTGAAGTCGGAGGAGGAAGGCCCGTCCCCCCGGTATGACTGACGTGGCGAATTGCAGTTTGCCGATAATCCCCTGCAGGTCCCGCAGGGGAAGGCTCTCGGCCCGCAGAGCGTCTTCCACTGCAGCCATGTACTTCGTCCTCTTGTCGTCCGGCAGCCTTGTCTCCATACGTCGGGCATCGATTTCAAGTCCAAGGAAGGTGAGGCAGGGCAGGGGCCCTCAGTCTTGTGGGGGGCCAGGGGAACGCCCAGGCGCTCACAGAGGGCAGTGAACACCCGTAGGCTCCACAAACACTCGTTGTACGTAGAACTCACGAAGAGGAAGTCGTCCAGCACCTTCTTGACATCCTGCACGCCGAACTTCTCCGCGAGGATCCATTGCAGGGCGTCGGAGAACGTCTCGAAGATCCTGCAGGAGGGTGCCGCCCCCATGCTGAGCATTTTCTCGTAGTAGTACCGCCCTCCGTAGGCGAAGCCGAGTAGGTGGTAGTCGCTGGGGTTGACTGGGACGATCCGGAACGCCTCTGCTATGTCGCATTTCGCCAAGTGCGCCCCCGGCGAGCGTCTGACCACCAAGGCCACTGCGTCGTTGATGGACTGGTAGGTCACTGTTGTCATCTCCCGCGGGATGTTGGCGTTCACGCACCCCGGGTCAGCACGTCCAGGGGGCAGCTCTGCTGATCTTGACCTATATAACATTACATTGTTCAGTCAAGCCACCACCTCAGTCAAGCCATCCCTCTCAGCTCCTGGTCCTCTTATTCCTTCCAAGTGATGTATTTATACTGGCTTGGCGCTTTATCCTCATAATTTCTTCAACTTACCCTCACATACCTGTTTTACCCCAATTTTCTCCTCATAATTACCCTACCACTCCCCTCGTAACTACCACATGATTCAGCCTTGACAGTGTTCCGGGTCACTGAACCAGCTACTCCCCTGGTAGGCTAAGTCTCAAGTCTGCCACACACACGCAACAACAGTTCTCTCTGTCCATTGACCATTCCGTGAAAAATGCGACTTCAATCAATCAATCAACTTCTCGATACCAACAGGAGGACCTCTGATATCCAACACCTTTCCTTTGTGAAGGAAGGAAGGAATTATCAAGGGAAAGCGCCAAGCCATTATCAATATAAATAAATTTTTATTCAGGTAAGGTACATACATACAAGGTAAGATACAAAAGTTGATAGATTTATAGATAGAGCTAGTACATACAATGCCTAAAGACACTATTACGCAAAGCGTTTCGGGCAGGAAAAACATAAAAGGCTAAAACTTAATACTAATTGAGATTAAAGTATAAATTGTGTTGAGAAAACATAAGAAAAGAATGGAAAAAGGGGGGGGAACATGGCAGAAAAAACAAAAATACAATTTGGTCAACAAACAGCATTGTATAAAATAGAAGACATGGGTTGACATTTAGGGGTGAGGTAGGTTACATTAAGTTAATTAGGTGGTACTTAGTTTTTATCTTAAACTGGTTGGGAGAGGTACAGTATTCAACATAATTGGGAAGGTCATTCCACATTCTGGGTCCCTTGATTTGTAAAGCATTTCTAGTTTGACTAAGCCGTACTCTTGGAATATCAAACAGGTATTTGTTTCTGGTGTGGTGCTCATGGGATCTGTTACAACCTTCTAGGAAGCATTTAAGGTCAGGACTGACATTACAGTTC